TTTATAATATTTTGCAAAAACAAATGCTCCGAGTTATGGCAATTTAATGAAATTATATGTTTTTCTTTGGCATATTCGAAGAAATTTTCTTTCTAGCATTTCGCACAACTCAGTGGAAGGCATATTGCATTATGAAAATTGCGTTTTCGCCCCGAAAAAGAAAAGTTGGCCAAGTTTCAATGGCTGTGCACCAAACACGGAAACAGATATTTAATTTCTTAATACTGAAAAGACAATTAGTGATTTTTAATTTCCATCTTGTGCTCTCTTTCTCTCCCCTCCCTACTTTCACTTCTCTCGCTCTGTGCATGTGCACTGTGCAGTCCCAATTTCGAATCCGCACAAACGCACAACTAATTGAAATTGAAAACTGCAAGACTTTAGCCAACGATTATCATGATAATGATATTACCCAGCAATATCTCTCTCTCTCTCTCGCTCTCGTGCGCTCGCGAATTCATAAATAATTATGCAAATGAATGTGAACAGATTCCAAATGCTTTTGTACCGAAAAACTTTTTAATTATAATCATTGCGAATTGCAGCATTTGAAGCTCGTTTAAAAGTTTGACTGAATGAAAATTGGAACAACACAGTACCTGGAAATATACACATATATGTGGAAATAAATTCTCGTCATATCATGCATGATGTTCGGTATTTTTGATTTATCAATTCATGGAATTTTCTGTTATTCTAGAGGCCAAAGCATGTTTGCATGAAATTGAAATTGTAAACATTTTCAAATGATTGCAACCGACATAATATTTCCGAAAATGAACGACATGACTGAAAGCGGTTTAATTGCATGAGTATAAATATAAAATCAAAATAATTCCGAGGAAATGTCGAAAAAGTTGATTTTCATTGAATGAAAAACCGTGCTTTTTCATCTATTTTCGATGTAATTCCCTTGAGCCATGAGTATAAAAGAAAATTTACCTCGAACGACGGGAAATCCACCCATCTGCCGAGTTTTTTCTCGCCCAAACATTAAATCTCTTAAGAATGAAATGAGTAAATTCGATTGAAACGAAGGATAATGATGTTGTCAACGATAATAACGATCACAATTCGTCTGTTGAGCCGGTCCACTTTAATTCGTTTTGCAATTAAGAATTAGCGAAAGCCCAGAAAAAAAAATCTGAAACACACACACACACACACACACAGAGAGAGAGAGAGAGAGAGAGAGAGAGAGAGAGAGAGAGAGAGAGAGAGAGA